ATATATGAAACCACTTTAACTATATTAATTATAATTTATAAATTTTCCCCTACGCTAAAATCTGTCCAACTCTTCAATTAATCCCTTACATCCTTTTATCTATATATTTTAAAGTTATTTTTAAACATCGTTTTATTCCTGTACACACACACACACACACAAACACACACACACACACACACACATATATATATATATATATATATATATATATATATATATAAATATATATATATATATATATATATATATATATATATATATATATACAGATAATTTATACAAAAATTCCGACATAAACATGTTAGAAATACATTCTCAATTCAATATCATCACTTCTTAAGACATTATAGGTGTTGAAAAAATGTCTATTTATATATATATATATATATATATATATATATATATATATATATATATATATATAGTTGTATATTTAGGCAGCAATCTTTGTAGTGATTTTATAATATATTTATGTTACAATTTTCGAATAAATTATATTTCCTCTATTCTGTATCGAGCACTCTTTTAAGAATAGTATTTTTGTCTATTAAATTTATTCCGCCTACACCATATATATATATATATATATATATATATATATATATATATATATATATATATATATATATATATATATATATATTTACGTTTTTTGTGATATTTACGTGTGATATTTACGTTTTGCGTAATAATTGATGGTCAGTGCTTTGTTAATTTTTTTAGATCCATTTTAAACTTTAAATATTATAAATTAATATAAAGAGTGGACGCGTAGAACATTATATATATATATATATATATATATATATATGTGTGTGTGTGTGTGTGTGTGTGTGTGTGTGTGTGTGTGTGTGTGTATATAAGCAAACACTAATATTCCATGGTCATAACAAAAGTCACTTAACAAAAGGCTTAAACACTAATATTCCATGGTCATAATTTATTCCATTGAAATCGTAAATACGATTCAATTCATCAGACCTACAAATTCAAAAAGAAAACAGAAAAAACAACTCCGGAAATAAAAACAGAATTTAGAGAGAGTGTAAGTATGAGGAGGAGGGAGATTAAACCTTAACAGAGAGAATTTTAGGAGAGGCGAGTGGAAGGAGTTTAAGTAAGAGAAATATGAATGTTGTCGGATGTCTAATGCATAAAGATACATTTCGTGGTGACATACACACACCATAGACGATCTAATGTTGAAGAACAGAATAAGCGGGAGGGAAAGACGAGGTGGGGGAGAGAGATGGGGCGAAGGAAAGTAAAATTGAACGACATTTACTGAAAGGGCTGCTGTGTAATTGAGAAAATTTGACAAATTTAATATCGACTACAGGTTACAAATCAAATCTAAACATATAAAAAAATAAATATAACGATTATCTAATCTAGTAAGTGTTTTTTATGTTCAAAAACACATGCGACTACACACACATGTGTTTTTTATGTTCAAAAACACATGCGAATACACACACACACACACACACACACGCACACACACACACATATATATATATATATATATATATATATATATATATATAAAAAAAAATAATATAAATCTTATAATAATTATAATATTTCTTTTAATTTTATAATATTATTATTGATTAGGTAATAATCATTATAACATTGCACAAATATCTATATTGTAGACAAAGGAATTTTCAACAATATACGCATTTTTTACGTATTTATAGTTATTTTTATAACTTTTATCAAAAACCACATTCTTGTACATGTAGTTATGGATAATATTATTCATTAAATTATTTGTTTTTTAAATATTTTTTTTAAGCGTTTCACCCCAAGCAAGGTGGGAAGCCACTAGCATGCAAGGGGTTACAGAGAGTTGGAGTGCGAGCAAATAGGAGTGATAGAGAAGGATAGGGGATAGATCAGGGCATCTGGAGACGTCGATTGACATTACATTTGAATAGTTGGAGATTATAGCTATCAGAGGAAAGAGGAAATGGGGAGGGAGTTCCACAGGCGAGAAGTGCGAGAAATGAAGCTATTGGCGTAGAAGAGATGGCTACGTTTAAAAGTTTTGACAGTGAAAGGGTGAGAGCGAGACGCCAGCCTAGTTCATGAAGTCTGGGAACCAGCAAAAATAGCTCATGGGAACAGTTACCGTGAAAGTATTTGTAAAAAAGACAGAGGGAGGCAACGGCACGTCTGTGAGAAAGCGACTGTAGACGAGATGCCAGATCAGGGCCAATTATATTTCATATCTGTCTCTGGATTTTATCAAGGACCTTGAGACAAACATCAATTTGTGCTCAGTTGTTGTCATTAACAGCTATCTGTTGTGTTAAAATTTTGGAATAATGCAATAATAAAAATTTAAATTTCATCTCTCTGATGATAGATGTCGCAATCTCATAAATTGATTTTCTGTTTTACGGTTTATCAACCTTTTTCAGGTTATTCAAACCCAAGTAAAATTTTGTATTGTATTTTTTGTGATAGGGAGGGTATAATAAAAAAAATACCAAACAAGTTTTATTAATTAACCCATAGCTGGGGGGAGAAAAGTTGTATTCATAAATTTCCCAACGGAAAAAATGAATATATAACAAACCCGACTGGAATTCGAACTCCGTTTTCACCACCCATAGATATCAAGCGTACATAACTTGGTGTTCCTAAACGATCGCCCATCTAGTTACTGACCAGGTTCGGCGTTGCTTAACTTCGGTGATTAGTTGAGAACCGTTGTTTGAACGTGATGTGACCGCAAGCCTTTAAACCAATGACTCACAGTTGTAATATTCAGAGCTTTACTATATTCATGCTCCTTTCCTTGTCTTCCTGAATCATTCATTTGCCCGTCCTCCCCCCGTTCCTGATGAATGCATAAAATGCAATATTTACCATCGCCTTCCGATGCCTGCCACCTCATTCTCCTCAAAATTACCCCCACCCACCAACTGACGCGGCCGTAGCTAACTCATGTCGCTCCCCGTACACCACCTTTCCGACGGCAGTACCGCTGCCTACCTCCACATCTATTCAGAGCAAACGAACCGTTCGTAGAAATTAACGTAATAATGTTTCATGTATATAACCGGACCAGTTCTTTCTTCGCTGAATGGGCTTCGTTTTTGAGCTGTCGTAAATTGCCGCCAAGTTCGAATGCAGTTTGACTTTACTGACGACTGCATCAAAAGAATTAGTCTTTCCAATGCCTGCATCGAAGACCTGTTCCAAAGATGCAAATATTCTTTATTGAATTTACCAGAACGCGCGATGCGCATTATAAGCGAAAGGAAAGAACGAGTGAGCGAGCTGGTATTGTTTGGGGATTTAGATAAATATAGATAAATTGACATGTGTTCAGGTAAGAATGGTTTTCTCTCTTCATTCCGGTTGTAGTGAAATAATTTCATCTATAAACGAAAGATGCAATCCTACAGACGCACAGGATATCAATGAATAAACAGATGCCGTTTTATGGCGTATTATTAGCTCTACATCATATTATTATACTGTAATTAGCCCTGTTACGTCCTACCATTGCCTCGGATAAATAATAAACCATTCCGTTTTGATTGTTAAAAGAAATGAAAGTGTAATATAGTGGGTGTTAAATAGATTGATTAACGAAATATCAAATCCTTATGGGCCATTTAATGCTGATATTTAATTTTCTTGACTGCGTTAATAATTTCTTTTACAAAACTGTATTGCTGGTAATATTTTTGTTCGTTACAAAACTACATTGCTGGTAATATTTTTTTTCATTACAAAAGTGTATTGCCGGTAAGATTTTTTTTCTTTCCTTAAAAAAAAACATTATTTCTGGCAATATTTTTGTCATTGCAAAACCGTATTACTGGTAAAATATTTTCCTTAGAAAATTGTATTGCTGGTAAAATTTTTTCCTTAGAAAATTGTATTGCTTGTAAGATTTTTTTCCTTGCAAAATATAGTGCCGGTAAAATTTTTTCTTAAAACCTGTATTGATGGTAATATTTTTTTTCTTAAAAACTGTATTGCTGGTAATATTTTTTTCCTTACAAAAATGTATTGCCGGTAATGTTTTTTCTTTTTTTAAAAAACTGTATTGATGGTAATATTTTTTCCTTGCAAAACTAATATTTTTTCCTTAAAAAATTGTATTACTGGTAAGATTTTTTCTTGCAAAAATATATTACTGGTAATATTTTTTTCCTTAGAAAACTATATTGCCGCTAATATCTTTTTAATTTTTTTTACAAAAAACTACCCCGAGTACAGCCTATTGGATGTTCAATTTCCTTATCGCCAATGCTAAATTTGTTATAACGGATCCAGACGCCGAGGTGTTTGAAATGTTTGGTATTTAATAAATCCACTTATGATGGTTTCGAGGTTGGTGCCATCACTGCTTTTATTCTATAGGTTTGTAGCTTTTATTTAGGAACCTGTAGTTAGCAACACCGAAGAAGTCATCGCCAGAGCAGTTCCGACTTGAAGGCGCACTGCAAATCAGGTCGATCTTCAGCAACTTTGTAAATATCATTTATCAGTGCTGTTGTGGTAAAAGCCAGTTACTCTCCTTTCTATCATAAATGGACTGATCCATTCATGATAAGTAGTCCTGGATAATTGTCTAGAAAGAAAAAAACTGAGTGATATTATCACGGCAGACTCGGTCGTGTTAAATGTTGTGTCTTGCCAGACCCCACTTCACAAGTCCTATCCAAACCTCGCTGTCTGGTTCTAACTAGGGAAAGTACTTCTAATCTCTTCAATGTTTTTTTTACGGGGAATGATGGATTTTTATTGATGGTAATATTAGAAGGAAACATTCGGCATTGATTGACCGAGCACCCAGTTTTGGAGTCGTTTGAAACTTAGAAAATGTTTCTCTTAAAACAATTTTTCTCGGCACTTGAGTTGCTTCAAGCAGCGCTGCCATCTGTGCACTGTCAATGATGCCGGGCATCTCCAAGACGGATTCTTGGAAATAGTCCCGAATACGGCGACCACACTATGGACAAACTTCAAGCTGCTGCTTGGTAGACTTGCCTGATTTACCCTGCCAGGTCTTGTAACCGTTGTATCTTTGGTTGACCCTACTCTCATGGTGTTCTTAATCCCAAGGTACAGCAACGTTTATCAGGATCCATTTCTGGCTGCTCTTGGGCAGAGTTATGATGTCAGGGCAATTGCTTTCCAAGCGCTTGTCAATCAAAATGACCGTATCTCCCTTTGAGCATCACTTACTTAATCTTGGATGCTGAAATCGGTGAGTGCTCACACTCGACCCCATACTAGTTTCATAGTCATCATTATTTCCCCTCTTCTTCCTCTTTCTTTTGCTTCTCTTTCTTCTTCTTCTTCTTGTCTTTCTTCTTCTTTTTATTCTTCTTCTTCTCTTTCTTCTTCTCTTTCTTCTTCTCTTTTTCTTCTTTTGCTTCTCTTTCTTCTTCTTCTTGTCTTTCTTCTTCTTCTTGTCTTTCTTCTTCTTCTTCTCTTTCTTCTTCTCTTTTTCTTCTTTTCTTCTCTTCTTCTTCTTCGTTTCTTCTTCCTTTTCTCCTTCTTCTCTTACTTCTTCTTTTCTTCTTCACTTTCTTCTCTTTCTTCTTCTTCTTTTCTTCTTCTTCTTTTTTTAATTCTTTTTCTCTTTCTTCTTCTTTTTCTTCTCCTCTTCTTCTTCTTCTTCTTATTATTATTATTTTCTTTGATTTCTGGTGTATACTCATTGCATTCCGGGTCCCAACCAGAGACCTAAGCTCAGAAATGGCATCATGACATTTTTCACCGAGCAATTAAAAAGATATTTTACATAGATAATGCCCTTCGGAAGATGTCGGCTGTACTCGTGAGAACATTTTTTTGTATTTCTTTAAGGCATGAACTTCCAGGAATCCCTTCAATGAGTCTGCTGAAATCTTTTCCAACCAATCCGAGGGCTCCAACTACAATAGTGATTATTGATGTTCCCTTGTACCACATTTTTGAGATTTCAGCTTCAATATTATTATTATTATTATTATTAAATGTGAATTGCGAAGGTTTCTTGGAAAAGATAGCGGAATGATTTCTCGTTGCTTTCTCCTCGGTTTTGAATTGTTCTGTATTTCTCTTAGACAATTATTTAATCCATAGCTGGGTAGGGAGAATAAATTTAGTCATACCTTTCCCACGGGCACTACTGCAAACGAGAGATCAACAAAACTTGACCTCGGCCATCCGATTCCATTTTCCGCATCGATGCCAATTCTATTCCATATTGTTTTAAATTTCTGGTCCAATACCAATATAGAAATATGTTTTCGATGCCTTTTCTCAGGATGTCAAGCGGAAACCAATGTCAGACGACAGCTGGAAAAAAATGTTACGAGTCACATATGTTGATATTTATTGTTCTCAGGATGAAAGTCGAAAGGAATTCCTTTCTGAGGCTGCTATCAACACAATCATATGCGCAGCTTATGCAGCTAGCATCATGCACTGAGAAGTATTCCTGGTAGATCTTACGTTTTCATAAGATTAGCTCGCTCATCGTGTTGAATGATTCCGGCGAGAAGAGGCGTGGCCGTCAAACGTCCCTTTCTATATTTTTAGACTCCCTCGAGTTGTTTTCTGTCCTCACACAAACAGTTTTAATCCCAATAAATGTTAGAGATTACAGGTAACAAACGGTGAACCCATTGATTAACCTCTTTTAGAACACAGCGATCGATTAATGAACATATTGTCGTCGCTTGGTGTTAAACTTGGTATCCATTTTTGAATTAACATTATCTACGTTGTATGTACAGGACTCCTCCCGGGATCAGAAACATCGTACCAAGGAAACCTCGCTCATATACATGAGGACTAAAAGACATTTTGGAAGAAGTGGGTGTCGATGACTGCTCAGAGGAGAATATGCATTCCCTACCCCTATTTGAGTTAGTATCAGCAGTGAGAGACTTACCCCGTCCCACCTGTGAGTAAGTGGTTGGTGGATGGAGGATGACCTTGTATGTTACATTATGTGCGTTGTATACAGTGAATTTTTGCTAATGCTTTTTTCACTAATGTGCAACCAATACAAAGCCCAAGAGCCACTCAAGGCAGAGGGTTACTAATTAGAGTTCTGTTAACATTAGAAAGAAAATTTTTTAGGAGGATAGATCTGAAAAAGTCTTTAGAAGGAACCGGAAACCAAATCCTAAACAGGAAACTAGAAGATAGAGCAAGACCGAGGAGTCGAGTCGAGTCCAGAGTGACAGAGTAAAAGGTTGTAGGTAACCGGAAGTGTGAGGGGGGAGGTAACAGCGTTGTAGGAGTCACAGTGAGCAAGCACGTAGACTCAGTAAGAAGTCATACAGCGATACTTCAATACCAAAGACTGTATAGATATTTTGCTACTAACCCGTATTCCTGGAACTACTAACCTGCTTTACCAGTTTGTATTATTACGTTAATACATTATTTTCATATATTCATTCTTGGCGTTTGTTATTTATTGGTACCGGATTTCATCCCGGAATCCACAACAATATATATATGTGTGTGTGTGTGTGTGTGCGTGTGCGTGTGTAGGATGCGATATATAAATTGTCATCTAAATTACACAAAAATAAAAATAACACTGACATCTAATTTTTACAGATATATTTATCAAAATTACAGAGAAATATCTTGAAATACTAAAGAGTAAAATTATTCAATGAAATCGTCATTGGCTTCAATCACGGCCTCCCAACGACTTCGGAATCTCCTGCAACTCTTCTGGGCGGTCTTCTCATTTAAGTTGGTGATTGTTGCCACATTTGGTATTACAAGTTTTGTTGATCTCTCTCTCTCTCCCTCTCTCTCTCTCTCTCTCTCTCTCTCTCTCTCTCTCTCAACTGTGCTCCCCACATAATAATCAAAGGGGTTTCAGACTGAATTCTTCTGCTTGTGTGTCATGGTGCAGAGTCCTGTTGCTAGACATGGCCTCTTCCAGCAGCCACCATCCTGACGTAGGGCAGCACTAACTCCTGAAGGCATTTGATGTAGGCCTCCTTGTTATGCATGAGGCCTTCGCCAAAAACACCTGTAGTCCTTTTCGTATCAGAAGAATCAGAGTGAGTTTTCCGAAATGCCGTCCCTTCGGAATCACCATTAGACTCATCCGAATCCTCTACAATGTCCTCAGATTGACACTCAAACACTCTGAAACGTTCGTATTGGAATTTCTGGCTCGAATGCCAAGCAGTATAGTATAGCGTTTCAAATTTTCTGGCGGTGTGTATTGAGTGATGGTGCTCTTTTTCTCACAGGCGGTGCTTAACTGACTTTACTATACAGTGCAGTCAACAGAATAAAAAACAAATAACACGAATGCGCAAAATGAAAAATATGAATTAACGACAATTTACCCATCACTCCCTGTATATATGTGTTTTTGATTTTAGTGTGGACCGTTTTTCGATTTTATCTTGGTCCCATTCTTCATATCACCACAAGGTTCTAGAGTCATTGTATATCAAATCCCGTGGGCTTTCCCTTTGTAAACAGAAGGAATGCTTACTGGGTCTAAATGTTATTGGACTCTTAGTTTTCTTGAAATTCATTTTTTTTTAATTTCATTTTTCCATTTGTTATCATTAATATTAATTAAATTTACACGCTTTTTTTATATCCCAGCAATAAAGTTAATAAGGTTGGGACGAAACCGGTTATGTTTTAGCTTTTAAAAATGCCATATACTTTTGCTTATTCCTAGCTATCGTTAAATTTTGTACTATAAAACCTTATTTAAATATATATATATATATATATATATATATATATATATATATATATATATATATATAGAGAGAGAGAGAGAGAATAAATTTGAATAAATGAGGCTTTTTAATACGTTATGCAATAAACGGCGTGATGACAAAATGTCCGCCTTTTTTCAAATCTGTCTTTTGCCTTCATTTTGTTCGCCATTCACTGCTGTAAATAACAATACTTGTTGTCCGGCGATACTGTTTTATCGTTGACGATTGTTCATTGAAATTTTGAGTATCGTTTTATTTTGAATAAATAAAGCAGTATCCACTCGTGTGATCTTTAAAAAATCCTTTTTATTCGTTCCATGGTATTTCGCGGGTGTACTTCCCTCGTTGTCAAGTATTTGGGTGATCATTGACATTTACTATGTGAAATGAGTCCGATGTTGGATCTGAAAAGAGGTCCGCAGTCACCGCGTGGTAGAGTAGGAGAGTTCAGGGAATGGAGAGTTCTTGCCTTTCTTTGGTCTCTCTTCGTCTCTTCTATTTGTCTACTGCTGTTTTCGAAGGATTTTTTTTTTCGTGGACAGCTCTTTTTCAATTTGTTCTTTCTGTAGCATCCGTCTCCCAATTGACCAGATCGATTTATTTCCACCTGCAAGGTGTTTTTGAGTCGATCCTTGAATCGACGACGTGGGTCTCCACGTGATCTCTTGCCAGATGCGAGCCCCGAGAAGAGGATTTGTTTGGGTAGGCATATATCTGACATTCGGGCAAGGTTTCCGGCCCATTGAAGTCGTCAGTGGCGAGTCAGAATGTTTTCTAGGCTCTCCATCTTTGTGTGGAGGAGAACATCATTTTTCGTGATCCGGTCTTGCCATATGTTTCACAGGATTTGAGGAAATTTAATTTGATGCAATCTGTCGAATTTGCTGGTATCTCTTCTATGGGAAATGAGTCCTATGTTGGATCCGAAGAGACGTCCACTGCCACCGCATATTAGGTTAGGAGAGTTCAGGGAATGGAGAGTTCTTGCATTTCTTTGGTCTCTCTTCGCCTCATCTATTTGTCTTCTGGTGTTTTCGAATGATGTTTTTTTCGTGGATTGCCTTTCTCCAATTGGGTCTTTCTACAACTTCCGTCTCCCAATTCACCGGATCGATTTCTGGTGTTTTTGTGCTGATTCGTGAATCGACGATATGGGTCTCCAAGTAGTCTCTTGCCAGATGCGAGCTCCGAGAAGCGGATTTGGGTAGGAATATGTCTGGCATCCGCGGTCCATCAAAGACGTCGATGGTGAGTCA